AAAAGATCATACAAATACAGTATAAACATTAGAAACTCTGTGGCCCACAGTTGGTCAATTTCCTGAACACTAGAAAGACCCAGGGCAGGGTGTATTGTGGATGAAGCCCCGTACACACATGCGGAATATTGGGTGGTATCGGCCTGTACAATATAAACAGGCTGACATTTGGCCCATGTATAGCAGCTGGTCCGACAGAAGCTGGCCAAACATATGGCTTCAGTCAAAGGGGCATGACCGAAAAGGTCTGCCGATCGGCATCTGCTCAGCGCTCTCTGTGAGAACACAATAGCTCAGTGAGGAGATTGCTGTACTAACTATTAGTACAGGATCTCCTCCCGAGAGCTTCAATTTTTTTCGTTCAGCCTGCTGTGTTGAAGGAAAATGCGGCCTGCTGCAAGATTTTATAGATGTAAGGGGAAACTCTGGTGGGGAATCTGATTTAAGGTGGCTCTGATGAGATCTCTGATGTAAGGGGGGCTCTGATGTAAGGGGAACTCTGATGTAAGGGGAATCTGATATAAGGGGGATTGTGATGTATGGAGGCTCTGATGGGGACTCTGATGTAAGGGGACACTCTGATGTAAAGAGGCTGTGAAGGGGACTCTGGCATAAGGGGAGATTCTGATGTAAGGCAGCTCTTATGGGGACTATGATATAATGGGAGAGTCTGATGTAATAGGGACTCTGATGTAGGGGGGCTCTGGTGAGGACTTTGATGTAACTGAAGATGGTGATGGGCTCAAGTTTATTTGGAATTTGTTTTGTTTCATTTTACTTGATTTTTTTTTCTGTTCTAAATCATATCATGCTGGCTAGAACAAAAATACTCTACAAGTAGAACTTATCCATTCATTTACCTTTAATTCATTTAAAAATGTTTTGTTTTTTTCTTGGCCCACAAAATATTTGTAAAATATACAATGTAGCCCTCATACTGAATACATTATAAAGAATTGGGAAGGAGGCTGCAGGGGAGCAAAGAGGCAAACACTGGCTGCTCTGGCAAAATGGCTGAAATGGGTTAACAACATCTATGCCCTGTAGAGGAAGACCACACAAAGTAAAACTTCCTGTCTATAACCTCCAGGATCTATAACTTCATTCTTCCAAATGTTGAAGTTGGCACTGTTACCAGGTAGTGGTTGCCTCTTTACTCCTCTGGGCCAGACTGTGTGCAGTTCATGTATTCATGACAGAACTTTGCATTAGTTCTCCCTGAAGAAGCGGGCCTTGTCCCTGTGAAACACGTTGAAGATATCTGCATGAATATGAACATCTGGGGCTACGTCTATTTGCAAAGTATCAACTATATTTGCTACAGTCTTTTTTGTGATACATATATTGTTGAAATGTTATGCTTTTAGGCATCTTTAACAGAATTTTTGTATAATAAACATGTATTTTTTACATATAATCCTGGTGTGGTACATTTAAAGTCCTATTAGGTATAGATATTAGGGTTTTTTTTAGGTTTTCTTCAGTGTCTCATACTGAATAGTTTGTAGATCCCTGGTCTACACACACAGGGGAACGATTGGGAATAGGGGGTACATGTCAGGGTGTTGGCCCAAGGTAAAGCTTAGAAAAGGATGGGGGGGGGGGTGGCAGTAGTGTATGGAAAGGGAGCAATGGAGAAACTGGGAGAGTAAGGGGGAAATATTTTTTTATTTTTATTATTAGAGAAAGGGTTTTATTGCAAATTTCAGTTGTATCTGCCAATTGTAGTTACAGCTCGCTTTGGCCACTTGCCTGAATTTCCTCTCCACTGATTTGTACTGGGATCACTGAGGAATGCATGTTGGTAAAATAGACCCATATTGGATCACACATGATCAATCGAAGACCATTGGTATATAAAGTGATCATCATCTTTTTACAAAGTGCATAGGAGATTAATACATTTTATAGCATGTTTCCCTAGTTTTGCTTGACTGAAAAATTCTATGGTTGAGATTTTAGGGCTCAGAGTCTCAAAAGCTTATTAGAATTACATTAACCTCTTGCTGACAAATTCTAATTGACATGAACCACTTAAAGTGGATCTTTAGTCAGAAAAATAGGTCTTGCTGGATCACTTCAGGCTGGTCTCTTATGCAGGTATAGCTATGTACAGCAATAAAAATAAGTGTCTATACTGTTTAAAATCCAATAATACACTGTCTCACCTTGCTGTGCACATGCTCAGTTGCTCTCCATTTTTAGGCACTGCTGAATCTGTAGAGGCTAATCTGCTGACAGCCTTAAAGTGGAATTAAACCCTCCTATACTTTACAGTTAAGAAAGCTGCTTCTGTTTGAACTGCAACTACCATTTTGCCACACATGTGATCAGTTATGACACCAGCCACTTGATGGTTTAACAGCTTGGCTGAGAGCACAAGCAAATGTGACAGTTAGGAATCCAGACATTGCAGGAATGTGACTGTTTTTTGAAACCGGTAAATCAGTGGATTTAGTTCCACTTCATGATTTACTTCTGTTCAAGGACTCTGGGCTTCAGAAAAATGGCAGCCTCCAGCAAGAAGAAACAGGAGCAATTCTGGAGGCAATCTACACCACACACTCATTTTGATTGCATAATTAATAATGTGGAATGTACGTTCCTTGCTAAAGAACATCTTTTTTATCAAGTTGTTATGGGCAAAGTTCCACTTCAAGTAACTCTACCACCAAAATGGTACAATAAAGGTCTCCCAGTAAAGAAATTGAACATTCAACTCTCTTTTGCCCACACCATGCCAGTCTCTGCTATGGTTGAGAGAAACTTCTGAGTAAGGATCCTGTGCAATCTGACCCTTCTGACAGTGTTGATTTCCTGGCTCCCCACTGCATGCTATGGTTTCTCCAGCCTTTGCCTGCTTTCTGTGTTTTGATATGTCAGCCCCTACATTATTTCTTTGTCCCAAATGATGGAGGGGCTGGCAGATCAAGCCACTAAGGACAGCCATAGACCAGGAATCTGACAATATCAGAAATGTTGGATTTTGCTGGATCTTTGACCAGAAGTTTCTCTTCAGTTCTGCAAAGATAAGTGGAATGGGCAGAGGGAGAGGTGAGTATTTACAGTCTTCTTTGTATGATTGCTTGCCATGAGTTAATGCACTTTGCAAATACTCTACCCTTTAAATGCAAGTAAATGCACTCTAGAGCTTGTTTGATCCAACTAAACTACAAGTATGCTTTGGTATTGTTAGAGGCAACTGAGGCTTCCATAAGAAACCATGGGGTAAACTACAGACTCTATGCAGACAGTACCCCTTCTGGGATTCCAGCCCAGGGTCCTAGAGATAAAAAAAAAAGGTAAATTAGCCAGCAATTATATTACAGAATAAAAGTTGGTGATTTGCTCAGTATACCTCAAACTACACTATATTGCCAAAAGTATTCAGACGCCTGCCTTTACACTCACATGAACTTTAATGGCATCCCAGTCTTCGTCCGTAAGGTTCAATATTGAGTTGGCCCACCCTTTGCAGATTTAACAGCTTCAACTCTTCTGGGAAGGTTGTCCACAAGGTTTAGCAGTGTGTCTATGGGAATGTTTGACCATTCTTCCAGAAGCGCATTTGTGAGGTCAGGCACTGACGTCGGACCAGAAGGCCTGGCTCGCAGTCTACGGTCTAATTCATCCCAAAAGTGTTCTGTTGGATTGAGATCAGGACTTTGTGCAGGCCAGTCAAGTTGCTCCACCCCAAAATTCTCTCATCCATGTCTTTATGGACCTTGCTTTGTGCACTGGTGCGCAGCCATGTTGGAAGAGGAAGGGGCCATCCCCAAACTGTCCCTACAAAGTTAGGAGAATTAAATTGTCCGAAATGTCTTAATATGCTGACACCTTAAGAGTTCCCTTCGCTGGAACTAAGGGGCCAAGCCCAACCACTGAAAAACAACCTACACCATCATTTCCCCTCCACCAAACTATACACTTGGCACAATACAGTCAGTCAAGTATTGTTCTCCTGCAAATGGCAAACACAGAAATGTCCATCGGATTGCCAGACAGAGAAGCGTGATTCATCACTCCAGAGAACACTGGAGTCTCCAGTGCTCAAGAGTCCAGTGGTGGGATGCTTTACACCACTGGTATCATTGTTTAAACATTACAAAGAATATAACAGAAAATGTAAAAAGGAAATCAAGGCTGCAAAAAATTGAAAATGACCGAGAGATTGCAAAAGCTAGCAGTACAAACCCCCCAAATTCTTCAAATACATTAATAGTAAAAAGGTCAGGTCCCAGCATGTAGGCCCTTTACAAAATAATCTAGAGTGGGTGACTGGGGACAAAGAGAAGGCAAATATATTAAACACCTTCTTCAGCTCTGTGTATACAAAAGAGCATGGGGGAGCTCTTGTCCACAATGGGCATGGTATTGACACAGCCCCAGATGATCCACATTGGCTCACAACTGATATGATCCAGATATATTTAGACAGAATAAAGGTGAGTAAAGCACCTGAACAGGATGGCATACACCCATGGGTCCTTAACCACTAGCCTACAGGGCACTTATACCTCCTTCCTGACCAGGCCAATTTCCAGCTTTCAGTGCTGTCACACTTTCAATGACAATTGCGTGGTCATGCAACACTGTACCCATATGAAATTTTTATCATTTTTTTTGAGACAGAGCTTTCTTTTGGTGGTATTTAATCACCTCTGGGATTTTTATTTTTTCTTAAACAAACCAAAAACCACTGAAAATTGTGAAAAAAAAAAACCCACTTTTTTTTTTTTTTGTTATACAATTTTGTAAATAAGTGATTTTTCTCCTTCACTGATGTGCACTAAAGAGGCTGCAGTGATGGGCACTGATAGGCTGCACTGATGGACACTGATAGGTGGCACTGATGGGCACTGATGAGGAGGCACTGGTAGGTTGCACTGATGGGCATTGACAGGCATCACTGATGGGCACTGAAAGGCAGCACTGATACTTGACACTGATATATGGCACTGATAGGCGGCACTGACTGGCACTCTTAGGCAGCACTGACTGGAATTGTTAGGCGGCACTGACTGGTACTGATAGGCGGCACTGATGCGCACTGATAGGTGACACTTACTGGCACTGATAGGTGGCACTGATTGGCAGCACTGATAGGTGGCAATGATTGGCATTGATAGGTGGCACTGACTGGCACTGATGGGTGACACTAAAAGGCAGCTCAGATGGGCACTGATATGTGGCATTGATGTGCACTGGTATGCACTGATATGTGGCATTGATGTAGCACTGATGGGCACTGGCACGTGGCACTGACTGCTGGCACTGATGGACACTGACAGGTGGCAATTCTGGGGCCACACTGATCATCAGGGCACACTGATCATCAGTGCACATGTGATAGCTCGAGAGGAGATAAATGCCGATAACCGGCATTTCCGTGTTTACATGTGATCAGCTGTGATTGGACACAGCTGATCACATGACCGAGCCGACATCTTCGGCTCTTTCCGTGATCTGCTGTGTCCGAGGGACACAGCGCACCGACGATCGCCGCGCTGCGTGCTCCCTGTGCCACGCATGTGCGGTGAGAATGGAAGGACGTCATATGACGTCCTATCAGAACGAGAGAACCACCTTGCGCCCATCATTGTACTATATGGCAAGCGGAAGGTGGTTAAAGAATAGAGCTCTGAAATTTCAAAGCCATTGTTTCTCATATTTAGGGACTCTTTAATAACTGGCATAGTACCACTGGATTGATGTAAGACCAATGTGGTGCCTATATTTAAAAATGGATCAAATCTTTACCAAGTAATTACAGACCTGTTAGTTTAACTTCTATAGTTGGGAAGATACTGCAGAGTTTATTAAAAGACCACATAGATGAGTTCTTGTTGGAAAAAATATTTTAAGCAACAGACAGCATGGATTCATGAAAGACCAAAGTTGTCAAACAAATCTGATAAGGCGGTGAGCAAAACCTTGGACAGAGAGGTGGCTGTGAATGTGGTATACTTGGATTTTGCAAAAGCGTTTGACACAGTTCCGCACATAAGGCTAATGTGTAAGGTAAAGTCTACAGGCTTGGAAAATCAGTATGTAAATGGATAGAAAACTGGCTAAAAGATTGTACTCAGAGAGTAGTGGTTAATTATTCATACTCTGAATGGTCTAGGGTCATCGGTGGTGTACCCCAAGGTTGGAACACCCGGATCCAATGATTTGGAGCAATGTTCCAATACTTTTGGCAATATAGTGTGTCTTACCTATTTTATCTTGTGATCCCCACATCTTAGGTCCCTTGCACAAGAAGCCTTCAACTGCAGTGCTGGGCCATTCAGTTGCAGTCTTTCTCACATTGTACCAAGTGGTACCAGCGTTTAGGGTACTGTCTGCTCAGGGATGAGGTTCCAGAATGCAGGTCTTCTGTGTTCTGGAACCTCATCCTTGAACAGGCAGAGTCCTAAATGTTGGCAGCACTCAATACATTGTTTAGCCAGTCCAGATGCAGCGTGACTTTGACAGTAGAGCTGGATGCTACCCCTGTTCTCCCAGGCACAGTAAAGCGCTGGGGGGGGGGGGGGGCACTGCAGCCAAATGGCTTTATTCACACTGACACTCTTGCATTTAGCTTTTTGAAGTCATCTGGGAGATATAAATAACTTTTAGACCTTGCAGATCACATTTTCCTGCATTTGGATGTCCGTACTTTAAAGCAGGTTTAGTGGAGTTTAGGTACGTTTAGTTGCATTTAGGGTGTCTAATTGGATCCTGGACGCACAGAATTCTATTTTCTCTCTAAACTCAGCTAAACTGACAGTAACCACATTGCATGAGGAGCACTATTAAAAAAGCATTACATTGTTTCATATGCTTTAAGAAACATCCTCTACACACATATAATCACAGATTCGACTACCAGTGTGAATGAGGCTTTATGCTTTTCACCTATTTCAGGTAGTGCCCGGATTTGCAAATACTGTATTCCCTGCTATAATTAATAATCGCCACTATCAGAAATTGACTTTTTCTTTGTGGGGGGTAGTTGCACTGTTTGCCAATGCATGTGCTTCATGAAATCTGAAGAAATGTAAAAGTTCAGACATTTGCACTCTTAAAAGTCATCATTGTTGAACATATCAATCCATAAAAGCTGTGAACTCACAGAGGGGGTAGAGAGAGAGAGACATGGTTGGTGCGTTTCACGCTGTGCTTGCTCATAAGATTATGAATAAGTGCAGCTTGAAAAGCCTCTTTCTTTTACCCCATTGTCAGTTCACTGCTTTTTTGGATTGATATGTTCTATAAAGATGACTCTTAAGAGGATCTGAGGAGTGCAGCCATCTAGACCTTTATTTTTCACCTGATTCAGTTGAGACCGGGGCTGGCACCCTGTGCATGCAGGATGCAGAGTCCTGTAGTTTTAGTTTAAATCTAATACCGGAGTATAGTTTGGGTTTATTATCTTTCAGCTAAATGTTCAGACAGTGTCTCCTGTCCTTCCTTGTCAGCTCCTGTCACTATTTATTTTCAGGCTTCCTAACCTAACAACTGAGACAGTATCAGCCTATTATACAGAACTGAAGACTAATAAAAAACTGGATACTGCCAATGTAAAGAGCTGCTGAAATTACTTGGACCAACTCAGTGTTCGCCATTTATTAATTAAAAGGGGCCTCAAATACAGCCTCTGCATCACCAAAGGGCCACACATAATGTTTAATGCACTGTATGTAATGCTTGGGAGGACAGTCAGAAACTGCAGACCTAATAGAGGAAATGAGGGTCAGATAGTGTGGACATGCTACATTTTCAGCTGAGGTTATGCTGCAGAAAATAGAAAACTCTGAAATGTTACATGAGGCTAATAGAGATCAATGTTATTACCCTAATCAATGTTCCCAATACAGACCGCTGAGGTCTGAGGGCCCCATATCATATACCAAAAGGGCCACGCTGCATGTTGTGCACCAGAGATTTAACTACTTTCCTTGCAGTGCAGAAATAGCTAGGAGATGGTTGGGTTTTTGCACCCCCTTTTCCACTACTTAACACTGAATATAGAAGCAGGACTGGTGATGAGTGAATCAGCATCAATGGAAAATTGGTGGGAAATTGTGGTCTTTTGGGGAGCTGCTGTGCAAGCCATTACCACATAAAACACATGGGTAAAAAACACGCAGAGCTCAATGCCCAAACGGATGCATGAGCTTCTTTGGTGCATTTATCAGGTGTAGGGCAGCCTATTGAATTGAATGGGCTGCCCTATGAGTGTAGTGTAAAAGTGCACACATGCACATTCAAGGGATGCTAGGTATGAAACCTTAAAAGGTGTGCAGGGTGTTCCAGAACCAGCACAGTTTTCCAGGACAGTGTCACTAACAGTATACCTTGACAGCATATTTTTGGCTGGGCAATTACATTTCTGTTCTTTGACAATTTGATTTGCTTACTGACAGCAGCATCACCCCAGTGTGCTTTGATTGATATTAGGGAAAGATAGGCTTTTTCAGGAGGTTTAAAGGATAAATTCACCTTTTGGAATATGTTGAATGTCCCACCCACATTTAGGGTGGAACATGTAACATGTTCCAGCAGCTGCAGCCTCTTCCCCTCTCCGCCTACAATTATTCCATTCTTGGTCATTATTCATACAATTTTAGTACACTGCAATATTGCATGGTAGTGTATAACGTTCACATTTTTGCACTTGTATTAGTGCTGCGCCTTTTGTTTTATGTTCATTCACATGTTCTTTGGATGAATCTTGACAAGGGTTGATTTGTCTGAGAAGGTTCTGAGACTGCTGATTGGCAGAATATATGATCCCTTCACAAGGCGAGTGGAATCAACTCCTTTAGAATCTATTGACCACATGCTCAATGAATCTGATAACTTGTTAGGTGTCAACCTCTTTATCCCTGGCTGCTTGAACCAGCAGGGTTCATACAGACATGCTCATCTGACTTTTTTTGGAAGAGTCTGAAGAGGATCATTTGCCTGGAAGGCAATCTATCCTTGATAGAATAGATAACCTCTTCTCAGTGTGAGTGGAAACACTCCTTTACAGTGTATTAGCCTCATTTGATAACCTGTTAGGTATCATCTTTATCCTTTGTTGCTTGAACAAAGCAGTATTCATGCAGTCATGTCTGTCCACATTGTCCTCTTTGGAATTTATGAAGAGGGATGCTGGGAAGACTAGGCAGCTTCTCATTGCCAAAGCAGATAACCTTTTCAAAGGGTAAGTAGAAACCACTCCTTTAGAGTGTTTTTACAATGTGTTTATTGAATGTGACATCATCTCTATCCCTGGCTGCTTAAGCCAGCAGGATACATAGTCATGCTCGTCTGCATCTTCCTCTTCATAGAATCTGAAGAGGCTGTCTTGCCTGGCACGGCTATGAGATTACTAATTGCCAGAACATATAACTCTTTCACAGGGTGAGTGGAAACAACTCCTTTTCAGTGCACTGGCCACTTGTTTAATGAATGTGATAACATGTTGGGTGTCATCATCCCCATTTCTGGTTGCTTGAACAAAGCAAGATTTATATTGTCATGTTCATCTGTCTCTTCCCCTTTGGAGAGTCTGAAGAGGCTTTTTTGCCTGGGAAGGCTATGAGACTGCTCATTGGAAGAACATTTAGCCTGGGTTTACACTTGTGCGGTGTGGGCATATCGCATGTGATTCACACAGGAACTGCACAGCATTCATGTGCAAATCACATGTGAATTCTGTGCGGTGTGATTTGAGCCATACATTCTGTATGCAGGGGTGGGCAAACTTTTTGACTTGAGGGCCGCAATGGGTTCATATATTGGACCCGGGGGCCGGACCAAGAGTAGATGAATGATGTGTATGTGTCATCCATAGTAAGTATAGTAATATTCCCCCATAGTAAGCATAGTAATTAATCCCCCATATAGTAATTCATCCCCCATAGTAATTCATCCCCCATATAGTAATTCATCCCCCATATAGCAATTCGTCCCCCATATAGCAATTCGTCCCCCATATAGCAATTCATCCCCCATATAGTAATTCATCCCCCATATAGTAATTCATCCCCCATAGTAATTCATCCCCCACATAGTAATTCATCCCCCATATAGTAATTCATCCCCCATATAGGGTGTTCATCCCCCATAGTAATTCATCCCCCACATAGTAATTCATCCCCCACATAGTAAATCCCCCATATAGGGTAAGTCCCCCATATAGTGTCCCCATATTTAAGTCCCCCATATAGTAATTCATTCCCCATATAGTAAGTTATAGTAATTCATTCCCATAAAGTAAGTCCCCCATATAGTAATTCATTCCCCATAAAGTAAGTCCCCCATATAGTAATTCATTCCCCATAAAGTAAGTCCCCCATATAGTAATTCATTCCCCATATAGTAAGTCCCCATATAGTAATTCATTCCCCATATAGTAAGTCCCCCATATAGTAATTCATTCCCCATATAGTAAGTCCCCCATATAGTAATTCATTCCCCAT